ATTTTGCATTCGTTTTTTAGTTTTGTGCAATATATATTTACATATGTTTTTACATTTTGGATTATTTCGTTAACTGTGACTGCAATACTTTTGCTGGGAAAGTAATCATCACATCACAATCACATACAGATTATTTAAACTGTGAGTTTAAAAAAGAAGAACAAAAATGGTTTTCTCTTCCCACCTTCCCTCTTTCAGCTGTAAGGCATTGGATTTTGATTGCTGGAATGTGTTTGTTTATGGTTCTGCTGGGTCTGTCTCTGATGATACTTGGTGTCAACAGAAAACACCAGGAAAGTGGAACATAATTCCCCCAATGGATCCCAATGTAATAAACTGTAAAAGGGGCCCAGTACACCATGGGTTTAGATTTGTTCCTTTATTCCAAATAAACAGATTATGATCCACAAATAAATGTAAAGTGATTCACAAAAATGGAACATATTAACCAATAAATAGAATGAGATCCCGAAATAAAAAAACAAAATTCACAAATGTTTTTATTTTTTTGACAAACACAACTAATTTTTGAATCAGTTAAATGGCTTTCTGTGCATTTGTGGATCGCTGCAAGCATTTGTGGATTTTGAAACATTTCTAGCTTCAAATCCAAAAATATGTGGACTCCACCCATTATTAAGCCAATCAGATAACAGGCTCATTGCGCTGACCAGTTAAACCTAGGAAGTATAAGGTCCATACAAATTGGTACAGTAAAAGATTTTTAAAATGTGAATTTCGTTAGACCATTAGACTGTGTATCAAGCCAAGTCACAGTATTACACAGTAATAACACAGTACAAACATACGAGTTTGTGTAATAGATGAAATTACTGTCACACAATAGCCAACAGCATTTCCCAGTTCTTCATTCAAGCCATTTTAATGATGCATCTGCGTGGATCTACAAATTGAGTCATCTGAACAAACAATTTTACATCGAACAATATTGCACAAGTTAATAATTACCACACAATATTTTGTGGTAATTATTATTAAAATATTATCATTGTTTTACATTGTACTTGATTAATTTATGCTGCTGTTGTTGCCACTGTCTATGTTAGCTGTCATGGATCAGAGTTCATATTTTTACTGAATTAACATTTGTTGATCCTCACCATGTTTGAGAATCGTGTGCTGAGGTATATGTGCATCTCAATGCAACTTTTGTATATAATACATTTGTCAGTAGATATGTTTGCTTTTAGTTTTAAGAGGCAGAAACTTCTCATATTATGTGGGTTTTTCCCACCCTGAGTGTAAAGCAAACTGATTGGTCGTAGCGAGGATATGCTGTGATTGGTCAGCAAAACGTGGCTGTTATCTGATTGGTTTGAGTAGACTGAGTGTGGAGTCACCTATATGTGGATTTTTCTGCACATCTTGATGCGAGAAATGTTTCGAAATCAACAATACATGTAATGATCCACTAATGCACAGAAAGTTAATCACAAATGAATGCCAGGCACGGTTGTTTTTGTTACATAAAATCATATATGTGAATATGTTTTTATTATTTGTTTAATTTTGTGAATCTCTTTCTATTTATTTGTGAATGTTTGATTTTTGTGAGTCTCTTTATATTTATTTGGAGTAAAGGAACAAATCTAATCCCATTCTAGTCACTGGTTACTTGTAATTTGTCAACAGATCTGCAAAGGATTCTGTTAAAACATGTCTGCAATATTGAAGTTTGTTTACATCATTTGCATCAATGCCTTTCTGTTCATCACTGTAAAGCTGCAATCTGTATGACAGTAGTCAACAAGTGAAGTGGATCAAAAAAGTTCATCAGAGTTGTACTAAGACAAGAACGCTTTAAGGTTTTAGGACAACTTTGATTAATTTTTTTGATCCACTTCAAATGTTGACTAGTGTATAATCTTTATGGTATAAGCTGTATTGTATCTGTAAAGTATGAAGTATTTTAGATATGTCAAATATTTTTGTCGGTGCTGTTGTTTGTTGATATGTATTTTCATATGAATTAAGTATTTTCCACCTATGTTCATAAAAATAAAGTTTTTATACAATATGATGAAATATGAAGAGAACGTTTAAAAAGTTAATGTCTGCTGCATTTATTTACAATCTAAACAGCCTCTTTGTGAAGCTGCATGACGGATTAAGACAGAGCTGAAATCTGCTTGTGCACAATTGAGGTGGCTCAGAGCAGATATTATGATAGAACCATTAAAGGGGTCATATGATGTTGCTAAAAAGAACATTATTTTGTGTATTTGGTGTAATGCAATGTGTTTGTTTTTTTTTTATTTTCCACATACTGTACATTATTGTTTCTCCTCTATGCCCCGCCTTTCTGAAACGCATCGATTTTTACAAAGCTCATCGGTCTGAAAAGCGAGGTGTGCTCTGATTGGCCAGGTTATGCGTCGTTGGGGAATCATGGAGTGTGACGTATGAGGGGAACACCAGTATTACAGCACAGGGTCACACAAGCCATGATACAAAGTTACAGAAACTAAGCAGCTGAAATCAATATGTCTTCCTCAGATGTAATGTTAGTTATGTACATCAGCGTCGGGTAAAACAGCATTATAATCTCCTTTGCGGTAGAGAAAGCTGCTTACATGTAGTCTACACGGGGAAACGAGTAACAGCGAAGATGCTGAATTACACGTAAACACAATCAGCTTTTCCGCATATTGATACTGACCCTGATAATCATCACTTCTACTTACCGCTTGCTCCATTTCTGTAAATCAGTTTTTGTGAATGAATGACTTAATCCACCTGTAGCTTTGATCTTCATCAACAGCCGCTTGTGCCACCTGCTGGTGAGCGACTGACAGCAGCTGGAGATCATGAAATGTGCGTGAAATATTTTGAATTGAAATATTCACAGCTTAAATAAACAACTATGGTAAATTTCATGACCTAAAATTGCAAGCCCTGAAAATACAAGGCATTAAAATGCAAACACTGTTAATGCAATGCATTATTTTTTCAGTTAGTGCAATTCAACATGCTAAAAAAAACGTGCCAAAAGTGTAAGCGCGGAAGAATGGAAGTCAGAAGCATGCAGATCATATTTATTTTGCGTTAGCATGAAGCTGCAGTTTCACAATACATGAATTATTCTACCTTCATACGTTGCGATTAAATTTGACCTCAGACGAAATTCTGGCATTGTCAGAAGATTTGGCGCACAGTCCTGCAGTGTGACTTTTCCTACGACGAACGTAAATCTGTCTTCGTTTTTTGAGACAAGCCATGATCAGAATTAATGCTAGAGATTTCTTCTAACCGCATAAACTCCGGCGCTCTCGTCGTCCGCTCACGGAATTCATCTGATATGTTGCTTTTGCTATGATAAACACCGGTTGCGCTGCTGTTTTCATGTGGGTGTGTAGTGCTGCTTGCACTATTCTTCTTAAATACGCCGGGATTGCCGCCATTCGTATACTTTTCATGATAGCCAAAATTTCAGCATCACGTATAATGGCAAGCTCACACTACAGGATTGAAAGACTAGCCCAATCACTGTGTTGCTCACACTACGCAACAATATTTCTTCTCATCTGTCGTCGTTTTGTCATAGCTGCGCGCATACTACACAACACAACGCTAACGAGGTGCACACACTACAAAACATTCAGTGAAGAGGCGTTCCCGACCATCAGCGAAAATACGTTTTCTCACATAAATTCTTGTGAGAAATTACAGCGATTACAGGCTATACCTTCAAGCATGGACGATCAACTGGCCCTTCAATTGGTCTGTGCAGTTATTTTATCCGGGTTTCAAAGCTGTCATGAAGGATTTTCTTAATTTTGTTTTTCAGTGCAAATGTATTGAATATTCACCCGACCCAATGTGACATTTTTTTAAACCTAATGAAACTTTATTGCAAAAATTTACTTGTATATAATTATAGTCTTGGTCATGACTTTGGCATTCAATTATTAAAGAATGAAACAGTACAGCAACATGAAAATGATACTTGAGGAGGTGTAGAACAAGAATTTGCAGAAAACAATTGTATTTTTTTCTTTATGAAATTTTAAAATGTCTACCAACACCAAGTGTCTCAGCCCAAAACATGCATACAACATTTTACAAAAACATTTTACAAACCCACTGCAAATGATTTATTAATACATTAAATACAATTACAATACTCAACTCAACTTTAAGAATAAAGTGCTTGTGCACAACTGAGGTGGCTCAGAGCAGATATTATGTTAGAACCATTAAATACCATTACCATTAAATAAGAAGTGCCTGTATAATGTTTTTTATTATTATTTTATTTAGCCTATTATTATAAATTAATTGACTCTGGTTTCAGTTTGATACGTACGGAAGCGTATTGCATTCACTTGAGGAAAAAAAATCTACTCTGTTTTTCAGAATTAACGAGATCCCTCAAAATCCTGCGAGAAGCTTTCACCTGCCCGAAGTAACGTCAGGCCACAGTTGCTGATGCTAATCAGCCTGACCCTCCAACAACAACAACAACAGTGCCAGGCCTACATGGGTTCAGTGCAGGTAAGATAGCTAAGTTATTATAGTTACATGTTAATGCCAAATGATGTCTGCTAACTGTTCGCTTGACGACATGTACAACGAGGTTAGAATAGCTGTTTATAAACATGTAACGTTAATGTTACGGGCATATTTTTTACTAACTACGTTAACTTAAGTTACACCATCAACTGCAGTTGGTAGGCTAACTTATGTAATGTTAAGCTAATATTTGTACCGTTAGTCAGCAAAAGGAACCGTAACTTTTAAGGTCGAGGCAGAGTAGATTTTTTTTCCTCAAGTGAATGCAATACGCTTCCGTAGATACGTGCTCCGACCCACACTTTTTAAACAAATGATTTGCAAAGGTTTCAGAAGCAGTGTTAAAAAAAAAAGAAAAAGAAAAAAAAGGGCCATCACTACCACGCAACGCCATGTAGACGCGCAATAATTTTCAGCGCAGATGGCACGTGACTGCAGTAAACCGAAAGTGAAAGTAGCCTGCCTTGTGCTTTATATAACTGCACCATTTTACACCCGTGTTTAAGAATCTTTAACTCAACAGAAATAATGAGTATCCGAGTATCCAGTGATTTCTGTATGCTATGTAGGAATTTACGTGATGTTGTTGAGAAAACTCAGGACGTCTAGTAACCTTACATTTCGAGTAAGTGTCAAAGTGAGGCGGCAAGAAAAGTTATCGACTTCTTCAATAAGTAAGTAGCCTAACCATGAAATGTAACTTACACATGAAGTACGTTATATGCATTTTTGATCTTATCAATGATGTCTTTATTATCAATTATCTTTGGCATAGGCCTATATAGAACCTATGTTAAAATACACCTTTTTTTTTATATGGAGGCCTAATCATAAAAGCCAAAGTAATAAACCACATGGTTGCAACTATTTTCGCTCTAACATATTTATTTATTTTTTATTTAGCTGCGTGTCTCCAAATGTTCTGTGTAAACTAAAGTCAATATTGAAAAATAATATCTGCTGATTCAGATGATGCCAGTTCTTAACATATACAATAACATCAGGGGCGTAGCATTAGGGGGGACGCCAGGGACATGTCCGTACCAATATCCAGCGACTACCAAACTGTCCCTAGCAATAATTTTGATCATACAATTAAATATATGTATGTTTTTGTAATTTCGGACTCATCCGAAACGTCATACCATTGATATTAGGCTACCTAAGAAGTTAAAGTAAATATGTTAGAAAACTGTGCGCTTTCAAGAACGCATATTTAACACATTGGCGGAGTAAGAACGTAGGTGCACACCGGAGGAGAAACGCAGCCGCAGGTATCGCACCCCGTTCAAGACAGCAGTCCACAACAGTTCATATACAAGCTCACTTCAGGAATTAACAAAGTTGCATCGATGAGTTTAATGTACAGTGTTTGACAAAACAGAGCAAACGGAAAGAGAAAGCGCAATCTATGTCTATTATTAGCTCTCTATGTAAAGCATATTTACAGAAAGAAAAAGGTTGTGCTGAAAGATACACAATCTTCCAGCCTGGCATAATTTGGGACAAATATAATGAGATTTTATGGATAACCATGTGAGTGGAATGTTGTTCAGCTGAATGCACAAAGCAAACTGTTAGCTGAAATATCCACAAAAAAAAAAAAAACACTGAAATAAGTGCGTGCGGTTTATCTGTCCATCAGATGCATGTGAAAGTTGTGTTCGTTACTGCAGCAACAGCAGAGTATTCTTTCAGAATCATCCTGGGTCCAATTAGATTAATATACAAATAAAGTGATGCGTGATTAAGACACCCAACGCTCTGATGCTGCTGTCATGTTGTTGGTTTAAAAAAATTTAAATTGTGTAATTATTGTCTGTTAAACATAACATAAAAAACTCTGTTTATAATGGCTGTTGGACTTTCTGACTGGAAGACCTCAGGCAGTTCGGGTCTGCAGCAACACATTAACATGGCAAATCTAATTAAGCCAGAAGTGAAATCTTGATTACTGATTAGAAATCAGAAGTCAGAATCTTTTGTTTCCTATAAACACATACATACTACTTGTATTTTGTTGTATCTGAGTGTTTCTGTCTCATCAGACGTACCTGTGCAGCTTCATGAAGACTGAATGAATCATGGAGGACACGCAAGCATTCAGAGATGGGGATTTTTCTCCAAGATGCAGGTAAGTCAAAGTCTTCATATGATCTTAATGTTAAATAGAAGATACCGTGTACACCACATAACCAGGGTGTTTAGGGTGTTTGCCAGGGTTGGTGTAGTGATCTGTTGACTTTTTCCTATTCTGGACACCACAGATAGATAGACAGGTGGATGGAGAGATGACATTATGCTTGGACAGTGTCATCACTCTTCAACATATCTTCAGCTTCATTTATTTCTTTAATAATATATATTTTTTTTTGATAGACAACTTTCCTGTGTGGAATTTATTGCCATGTAAAATCAACCAGTTGGATTCTTGTCTCTACTAAATTATCTCTTTTCCAATGTCGCTATTCTATTAAAGTCAATTTCAGGGGGACAGATCAAACTTACCAGAGCCCAGCTGTGTGTCCATGAAGAGTAACTGGTCTATGAAAGAACCGTTAAAATTTGATGGAAGACACATCACCCGATCTGAGGTACAACAGTTTTACCAACCAAATTACAGCACAAATGAAACAGCTCCATCACTTTAATGGGAAAACACATCAACAGAATGAAAGTCACTACTATCTAGCCCTAGAAATAGAGTACACCAGGGCCGGACTGGGACATAATTTCAGGCCGGGAAATCTCACACTCATCCAGGCCACACAGAAAAAAGGGGTCAACAGCTTGTCTTTTGGGGTACAACAGCTTGTCACTGAAGCAGTACTCTTAAAAGGACATATTTGTACTTTTTCTTTTTTCTTTTTTTTTTACCCCTAATAGGTACATATTAGTACCTTAGAGTAGTAATTTGTACCCTTAAGGTACTAATTTGTAGGCCTAGTCCTTTTAAGGGGCCTGTTCCAGTGACAAGCTGTTGTACCACAAAAAGTGTAATTTTGGCCCCTTATTTCCTGTATATAGCCTATACATCCACAACCATTTCTGAAACCAGACAACCCTATTATTTGAATGGCCATCATATAAAAAATGATATCTCCAATATCTCTGTCTCTCCCTTTTTTTCTTACCTGTCACTTCTTCACCAGCAGGTCTACTGTTGTGAACAGAACTGTGTCCACCTTGTTGAAAACAACTACCTCATTTCAATTTGTTAGCACAGAATTGTATTTATCTTAAAATGACTTAGATTTAACAAACCTCTGTTACATACAAATATACACTACCAGTCAAAAGTTTTTGAACAGTATTACAGTATTACAGATTTAAAGAGTTTTT